CCAAACCATACTAACAACATTGCCAAGAAGAGTTAAACACAGCGTCCCCAGACCATTTTTGAATTTTCCTCCTGTAGAGGGACACGCCCGACTTCAGGTCAATCCAGACCCGGGTCAGTGAAGCTGTGCAACGCCCTGCAGAAACTCTGCCGGATCCTGCGCCCAAGCCCAGGTCACTGCGCCCCTGGCCCTGCAGGGTCCTGCAAGATCCGGCGCTCTGACGGACCCCCGTTTGCATCGACCCCGGTCTCTCGAGCCCCGACTCGCTCCCGGCGTGTCTCGCCCGGACGTGGCGGCTCCGGTGTGGGCGCGGTGCGTGTCGCGCCCGCCGCGCCGCAGCTGGAGCGGCAGCGGCAGCGGGGCCCGGGCGAGAGCGGGCCGCGCGCTCTCCTCGTCCAGGCGCCGTGCGGCGTGTGCCTCTGGCTGCCGCGCGGCGCCTGCTTCGCCGTCGCCCCCCCCTTCGGACAGGTGTCCGCCCGGGAGATGTGGCTCAGTGGCGGATGCCGGCAACCCTGAAGCCAAAAACGTTTTCATCTCCTGGGGGCGCATCTTGTGCTTCCGCCGCCTTCCGCCGGGGAAGAGATGGCAACTCCTCCGATCCTCGAAGGCAAGGCCCTGTTTGGAACGCCCTGAATGGTGCTCTCGCCACAGCGCCGCGGAACAGACTTTCTGAAGTTCTCCCGCCCGTGCGCGGCCGCTTGTACCTTGTTGTTTTTTGGGTGTTTCACGCATGCTGCAACACTTTTCCCAACCCTCCTGGGTTGGGTTCTCGTTTTTGAATCGAGCACTGTGGTCGCACACCATCCCGCCCGCCTCCCTCTTCCTCTCCTCTCCGGCCTGCCTGCTTCTGTGCCTGGTACCTCGCGGGCCGCGATCGGCGACCCTGTCGCCAGTTTCGGAGGCTGCCGGGGGTCTAGCGGAGTGACGCGCTGCGCAAGTTCAGATCACACCTCACCATCCCTTTGGGGGGCTGCGGTACTCGAAACTGTCGCGTCGAAGGCTGCTAGAGGGGGTCCAGCGGAACGACGCGCTGCGCAGATTTCGATTCGACCTCGCCATCCCTGGGGGGCTGCGATCTGCGAAACCGTCGCCCGTGTCGAAGGCTGCGGGGGGTCCAACGGAATGACCTGCTACGCAGATTCAGACTTGAACGCGCCATGCCTGGGGTGCTGCGATCCGCGACACTGTCGCCACTTTCGAGGGCTGCTGGGGGGTCCAACGGAATGACCCGCTACGCAGATTCAGACTGGACCGCGACATCCCTGGGTGGATGCGATCTGCGAAACGTCGCCAATTTCGAGGGCTGCTGGGGGTCCAGCGGAATGGCGTGCTACGCATATTCAGATTCGACCGCGCCATCCTTCGGGGGGCTGCGATCTGTGAAGCTGTCGCTACTTTCGAGGGCTGCTGGGGGGTCCAACGGAATGACGCGCTACGCAGATTCAGCTTCGACCGCTGCAGAGGAGGAGGAGGAGGAGGAGGTGGAGGAGGAGGAGGAGAAGGAAGAGGAGGAAGAGGAGGAGGAGGAGGAGGAGGAGGAGAGGAAGGAGGAGAGAGGAGAGAGGAGAGATCAGAGAGGAGAGGAGGACAGGACAGGAGGAGAGGAGGAGAGGAGGATGAGGATGAGTATGAGGATGATGATAATGATGATGCTGCTGATGATGATGATGTGGACGCTGATGCTGGTTTGGGTGATGATGAGGAGGAGGATGTGGAGGGAGGAGGATGAAGGAGGAAATGAGGAGTCTGGGTAGGAGTCGTATAGTAGTAGTAGTAGTTATTATTAGTGAGTAAGGAAGGGGCGTGAGGAAGGGAGGAGGAGGATGAGGAGGAGGAGGATGAGGAGGAGGAGGTGGAGGAGGAAAAACAGAAGGAATACTCCCTTCGTCCTCCCTGTTCTCCTTGTCCTACTCCTCATCCTCCTCTTGGGCTGGACAAGCGCTGATTGCCGCGAACCATCGCGTCTAGATGGCCACGATTCGAGAAACACAATTATCACCCAACACTCGCTAAACTTAAACGGTATGCAACCAGAGCGGGCACGAAAAGAAATAGAAAGGCGAACACAACTTGACAGGAAGAGAAGCCCGCTATGGCATAGAGGAGTGCACAGCGGCAATAATGCCCCAGACCCTCCCGCTCAGAGAACTCTCTCCTCCTCTTCCTACTTTTCCTTCTCCTTTACATCCTCCTTCTCCTCTTCTTCCTTCTCCTCCTCCTCCTCCTCCTCCTCCTCCTCTTCCTCGTCCTCGTCCTCCTCTTCCTCCTCCTCATTTTGCGTTGGGCAAACTTTGAGCGAAGCTCGCAGCGTTGCCCTCCTCCTCCTCCTCCTCACTCTCCTCCTCCTCCTCCTCCTCCTCCTCCTCCTCCTCCTCCTCATCCCCTCCCCCTTCTCCTTATCTCACTCTCCTCCTCCTCCTCCTCCTCTCCTCCTCCTCCTCCTCCTCCTCTCCTCCTCCTCCTCCTCCTCCTCCTCCTCCTCCTCCTCCCCCTCCTCCCCCTGCCTTCTCTCGCGCCGCACGTCCTCGCCAAACATCGCCTCCAGCGAGGCCCTGGCGCTCTCGAGGCGGGCGAAGGCCTGCTTGCAGGCGGCCGCGTCGGCGCCCTCCGCCTCGCGGCGGGCCCCGCTCTTCGGCGCAGCCCCTCGGGCCGGAGGCTCGGCCGTGGCTCGGAAGCGGCGGCGAGCCCCGGAAGGAAGCGAGAAACCCGGGGGGAAGGTGCCGAGAAAGCTGCGCTTCCCTCGCTTTCCCCCTCTTTGGGGCCTCCCGTGAGGCCCCTGTCGCCACAGCAGGATTCGCCCCGAGATGCACCCCAGGAGCGGTCCGGGGAGCTGCGGTATCGGTACCTGTTGGTTTCCCCAGTGCTCGGCGGCGAGCCTGGGGGGAAGCGAGACGAGGCGGGCCTTCTCAGAAGGCTCGGGAGTCCTCGGACCTTCTGAGAGGTGCTATGAGACTTCCCAGAAGACACATAATACTTCTCAGAAGGCGCGAGGGCTTCTGAGAAGTCCCGCGGCCTTACGGGAAGGGCTTCTCCTTCTCACTTCCCCCCCGCCTCGCTCGCCGCCGATAGGAGACAGCACCTGGGAGGTCTTGGTAAGAACGATTACCCAAATCTCCGACGATTTGTTTTTCCCAACCATCCTGTGGTGTTGGGTCCTCGTTTTGAAGAGACGGTGCCCCGCGTCTCCTCCTCCCGCTGCCCCCTCCCTCGTCACCGCACGCATTTCAGCACACCCCTCACACGTTTCGTGGCCCCATAGGGAGCTCCACCGAGGGCCCCAGTGGCTGCGTTCGCATGGCGGCACCGCACCCATTTCGGCACACCCCTCACACGTTTCGTGGCCCCATAGGAGCTCTACCGAAGCCCCAGTGGCTGCGTTCGCATGGCGGCACCGCACCCATGTCGGCACACCCCTCACACGTTTCGTGGCCCCATAGGGAGCTCCACCGAAGGCCCCATGGCTGCGTTCGCATGGCGGCACCGCGTTCATGTCGGCACACCCCTCCATGTTTCGTGGCCCCATAGGGAGCTCCACCGGGGCCCAGTGGCTGCGTTGCATGGCGGCACCGCACCCCTTTCGGCACACCCCTCACACGTTTCGTGGCCCCATAGGGAGCTCCACCGAGGCCCCAGTGGCTGCGTTCGCATGGCGGCACCGCACCCATTTCGGCACACCCCTCACACGTTTCGTGGCCCCATAGGGAGCTCCACCGAAGGCCCCAGTGGCTGCGTTCGCATGGCGGCCCGCACCCATTTCGGCACACCCCTCACACGTTTCGTGGCCCCATAGGGAGCTCCACCGAAGGCCCCAGTGGCTGCGTCCGCATGCGGCACCGCACCCATTTCGGCACACCCCTCACACGTTTCGTGGCCCCATAGGGAGCTCCACCGAGGGCCCCAGTGGCTGCGTCCGCATGCGCCCGCACCCATTTCGGCACACCCCTCACACGTTTCGTGGCCCCATAGGGAGCTCCACCGAAGGCCCCATGGCTGCGCCCGCATGCGCACCACACCCATTTCGGCACACACCCCTCACACGTTTCGTGGCACACCCCTCATAGGGAGCTCCACCGAGGGCTCCAGTGGCTGCGTTCGCATGGCGGCACCGCGCCCATTTCGGCACACCCCTCACACGCTTCTTGGCCCCATGGGGAGCTCCACCGAAGGCCCCAGTGGCTGCGTTGGCATGGCGGCGCCGCACCCATTACGGCACACCCCTCACACGTTTCGTGGCCCCATAGGGAGTTCCACCGAAGGCCCCAGTGGCTGCGTTCGCATGGCGGCGCCGCACCCATTTCGGCACACCCCTCACACGCTTCGTGGCCCCATAGGGAGCTCCACCGAAGGCCCCAATGGCTGCGTTGGCATGGCGGCGCCGCACCCATTTCGGCACACCCCTCGCACGCTTCGTGGCCCCTGAGGGAGCTCCACCGAAGGCCCCAGTGGCTGCGTTCGCATGGCGGCGGCGCACCCATTTCGGCACACCCCTTACACGTTTCGTGGCTCCATAGGGAGCTCCACCGAAGCTCCCAGTGGCTGCGGTGGCATGGCGGCGCCGCACCGAAGAAGATGTTCACTATTGCGGTACTCACAGCTGCATATGGTTGGGTCCTTCGCCAGGCTATTTTTTTGTTGTTGCTTTGTCTGGGCGTTTTCCATCGATTTCGGCCCCTGGGGCCTGTCATTAGAGGCCTCCTAGATGGGGTCCGAATAGATGGGGTCGGAGGATCGCGCCGCATCGCCGATACATCGGTGATATATCAGGTATGCATCGGCGATGTACTGGCGATCGTCGACGTCGGCGATGCATCGGCGACGTCGACGTGAAGCAAATCGGGCTCCAACTGGAGCCGCATCGGCGATGTGGCTGAGGGGCAACGATCGGGGGGGACTGGCATAGGGGGGATGCATCAACCTGGAATCGGCGATACATCGCCGATAGGTCGGCGATAAGCCCCCAATAGTGAACCCGCACCTTCCTGGGCAGGTTGGGGCTACCGGGCCCCCATCGGCGATCAATGGGCGATTGAGGGTCGATGCCTCCCCCCCTATGCCCATGCCCCCCTGTCGTTGCCCCTGAGTGGCGCGATCCTCCGACCCCATCTGCTCGGACCCCATCTAGCCTAGGATGTCTGGAAATGGGCACCAACACCAACACAGGAGGTTGACTCCACAGGGGGAAGATGATCCTATCTTTCGGTGTTGGTGGTAATATTTCGGCCACCTTGGAAGCCAGAATATTACCACCATCACCGAGATCGGGATCTTCTTTCCTGGATGGAGGCACACCGCCGATATTGGTGTTGGTGTCAACCTCTAGGCCTCCGAATCTAGCCTAGGAGGTCTGGAGTCATCGCGCCCTGGGGCCATCAAAAATTCCTCCCCGGGGCGAGAGACTGCCCCGGGGAGCGGGGTCGAGACCTCTGGGGCCGCGCGTGGAACAACAATCATACCGTCGGATGTCTGGGCAAAGGCCACCGGGCCCGACCGAGGCGCCATCTGGGCCGGACTGTGCAGGGTTGCGCCCGGGATTCAGCCAGAACGAGTTTTTCCCCTCCCCCTCAGACAAATGATGATATTATTATTCAAATTTATTATTATTATTATTATTCTTATTATTCGTAGTATTAATATAATTGTTGTTATTATTGCTGGTATCACACTTATATTACTATTACTATATTATATACCAAATAAACATATACACAAAATGCAGTTCGCAATTTGGAGGGGAGAGGGGGGAGCGGACACCGCATCACGATGACAGCAGGCACAACGACACTGCGGGATTATGCTTGATTGTGCCAGAGTAGGCCCGTTTTCGGCCACGGGTGTGCCAGCGCCGATGCTGAATCAACCCTCCCAAGAGCTGCATCGTAACATAGATGGGCCCGACGATGCTCCTCTGCCGGGCCGCCCGCGCGAACGCACAGACAGGCGTCTCTGCGCGCACAGCATATTCATGCAGCAAGTTCGTGCCGTGACGATCCCGGCGTCGGTTTCTGACACCGCGTGGATCATTCACCTTGGAGCCGCTGAGCCGATACGCCGATCCTCTGGTCGGTGCGAAGGGCACCGCTGAGCCGATGTGCCAATATGCCGACACGCCGAACTGGGAGCGGGTGGGGCCCTCTGTGGAACAAGCCCCGCGGGCCTCCGTGGCCTGCGCGGGGCGGGGAAAGCCCGTGGCAAACTGCGCCGATGCGCTGACCGATGTGCTCCTGGGCTGGGTGGCCGATCAAGACTATTCAGCGGCCCCGGACCGGTGCACCGATGCACCGGCTGGCAGTCGGCACGCCTGAACCGATATGCCGAAACTTCGGTAAGGCCTGCGCGCGGACGCCCATACCAAAGCCCGACGAGCCGATGCGCTGACTCAGAGCCGCTGGGCCGATGCGCCGATGCTGCGGTCGAGGCGAGAAGGCACCGCTGAGCCAGGAAGCCGATACACCAATGTGGATCTGCCCTCCCAGCCGATGTGCCGATACGCCGACGTGAATTGGGTCACTGGCCATTTCGATGCCAATGACCCACTTCACGTCGGAAATGCACAGTTGGAAGACAACCGTCCAAGAATCCTCGATAGTGCCAAAACACAACTCCTGGGAATTGGACGCCGCGAGTCGACGTAAGTGATGCGTCCTGACAGTCCTGAATCGTGCCAGAAAACCATTTCTGGATTTCAACACTGCGAATCAGCATGACTGGTGTTTCCTGACAATCCTAATTCGTGCCAAGGCACTATTTCTGGGACTTCAACCATACGACCCCCTGAAACGGTTGAAAGCTTTTGCGCTGAATGTGCGCGGCACCGACGAGAGAGCCGTATTTGGAAAACCAGCCGCCCTGCATCCTTGGAAATTTTGCAAACCTAGGAACCGAGTGTTCGCGACGCTAAACCGAGAGCCACATTTTGAAAACGGGCCGCCCTCCATTCTTGAAGCTGCTGCAAGTTTCAAGCTTTAATGAATGGTCAGGAAACCTCAAGCGAAACGCCCGGCCCGCTTCACGGACACGTCTGGAGGTGCGACACGGGGGAAGTTATTCCCCAATCAGTGCTTGCACTGAAGGGGTCCTAGCGGAGATTGAAGGATTTGGCGAAAGTTCCCCGCCGATTTTGGTGGCAAGCTGAGTTCCCGGGTTCCCCGGTTCCCGGGTTCCGGGTTCCCGGGTTCCCGGGTTCCCGGTTCCGGGTTCTGGGCCGATTTCGGATGGCGGCGAGGTCCCGGCTTACCTGGTTCCTGGTCGATCTTCTCATCGATCGGTCTCACCATCGATCTCATTACCGAATTCTCGATCGATCTCACCACATCGAACTCAAAATCGATCTCACTATCAATCCCACATGCGATCTCACTGGGGATCGCATGAGCGATCTCGCGATCGATCTCACTATCGATCTCACTGAATCGATTTCACTCTCGGTAGCACGATCGACCTTACAATCGTCCTCACAACCGATTCCATTATCGATCTCATTGTCGATCTCACAATCGATCTCAGGATCTATAATATCAATTTTCAAAACATCCACTGATTGGGTCTTCTCAGGTGTAATTTATGAAGGAAAAGGATTGATGATGATAATGATGATGATGCTGCTGATGATGA